CACACAGGGGGCTCTCACCACTGCCGTGGGGAGTTCCTGGAGACCTCCAGGGATCAGGTCTCAGCACCCCAGCTGCTCTGAAGAGCCACAGCTGGGCCACGTCTCTGCCTGGTGGCCCAGAGAGGGCAGTGGCACAGCATGGGTGGGATCTTCTGCAGCCCCCGCAGTGTGCAGGGGGTCTGTCTGCCTGGTCAGCTGGGTGAAGGACAGTTGAAGATCAGATCTGTAAGAGAATTGGGGACCTCTCCAGGCTGGCCCCACCAGCTGTGGGGACTGGCCTGTTTGCTCTGCAGCCCGGGGCAAGGAAAGCTCCAGGTGCTGCAGCACCCAGGAGGCAGAGGCACCGCCATCAGCTGAGGGTAACTTTCAAATGGCAGAACAGAAATAAAAAAATCACTTTGATGAGAAGGCGTTAAACATGCGAGGGAGGGTTACACAGATTGCTCAGGGATCCAGCTCTCGGCAAAGAGGGTGTTTTTAACAGTAAACAAACAGACATCGCTTGTTGCAATGTCAGAAGCCATCTGATCAGATACTTGAGCATCTTCCCTTGGCATTCATCACTGATCTGCTAATTAGTAAAGAAAAGCAGTCTCCTCAGATGTAAGGGAGGAGCAGCTGGGAACAGCACTGAGATAAATCAGCTTGACTCTGCCCCGTCCCCAGGTTCCACCTGTGCTGACACAGCAGAGGCCTGGTCAGTTCCCTGAGCTCCCTGTTAGCTCTGCGGACAACGGTGGGGCAGCGTGACAATACCACCAGGATTTGGGGAGGAGGAGGTGAGGCGTACAGCCAGCAGCGTCCCAGCTCACACAGGGCGCTCAGCCAGTGTAAAGCTGGTGCAACACAAGTGCCCATGCACAGACCTCATCTGTGAAGGCATCAGGTCACACAGATAACGTGGCACCTCTCTCTCAATTTAGGTAAAACCATCCTCTGGACGAAAGCAGGTCCACTCATCTTCACCGAGAGCGGAAAGAGCAGGAGTTCCAGCCAGCAGGGGCAGCTGCACCAACAATGCTTACAGGGTGACCTCCAGCGGGATAAGAAAGACATGACAAATTTCACATCACATGAAGAAGAAAGTTTATTTTTTTTTTTTTGGTGCATTATAAAGGAGCTGAAAGGGGAAAGGACAGCATCCTTTGGAGCCTACTCTTATCACCACCGCAGGGCTACTGCAGAGCTACAGGATTCCAGGCTGGTTATGATACAAGTCAAGCCCTGCTGCTTCGGTAGCAGGAAGTGCCATCATCAGCTCCACCGAGGAAAAAGGAGGACAGAAAGATCACAGACAGAGTTGCAGTCCTGCAGTCCTACCCATCAAACCACCCAGTAGGGTCGGCAGGTGGGACTTTGAAGCACAGAAGCATCCCACACAGATCTGCACCCCACTGTCTGTTCACACAAGCTGCAGAGGCGCAGGCGGCAGCAGGGGGCAACCCACACTTCGTCTCGGCTGCCCTCAGCAGAGCAGCAAGAGCCACCTCCACCTGCTAAGCAAGTGGGGAAGGCTGCTGCCGCACCTGCCTCAGGCAGTGGATGCCCGCTGGGTGAGCTGTCACCAACCAAACTAATTTCCAGCCAGAGTCCTCCCTGGTAGTAGAGAAAACTCCCACTTCCTCTGAATAGTACACTAAGGAGCACAGCCCAGCGCCCTTTGGCAAGAGAACTTGTCCAAACGCAGCTTCAGACGGTCACAATCACATCCATCTGGAAATAGTTACCTTCTCCCGCCCTCCCCTAACAACTCTGCAAGCCCCTCCCCCCGCAGTGTTCAGCACCAACCCTACATGTGACTTGTCTCCGTAACAACCCCAAACCACACCCAGACTTGGTGTCCGTGTCTCAAGACTTGGCACAGGACTCCCCAGGCCCTCCTCCAGCAGACCGAGGGTGCTTTCCAGTGCTGCCAGCTCCCCTGCCTCCACCCTGCTTCCTCTTCATTTGGCCCTGGGACTCGGCTTTAAGTGTCTCAATCCAGAAGGCATCAAAAGAGCCTGGGGCCTGGTATCCCGGCTCCTGAGGGTCGAGGGCATCTTTGCTGAGAAGGACACATATGGCAGGAATGTTCCTCTTCACCGTCAAGGCATCAAGGCCTGCCTCAGGCACAATGGGTTCCCAGATCTCTTCGATCTGTCTGAAGAGCACTTTGGTGATCTGGTGCAGCTCTTTCAGCCTTCGCTTCATGATTTCCACACAGGTAATAGTCTTGCTGACAGCCTTGCCTGAGCCACTGAAAAGAATCTGTCTCACAGAATCGAGCTCCATTTTGCTGATGGCATAGCCCATCAAATTTCTGATTTTGCTCCCATCCTTCACCTTCATTTCAATAATATCAGGAGGCAGGTTGGTGAAAGGAAGAGGACAGGGTTTCTCCACAATTTTTGTCTTCTTATAGTTCTCCATTCTACAGTGCTGAAAAGGAAAACGGATCCATTAACACAAACTCACTTTGCAATTCCTGTGCAAAGGAACTCTCACCACAAGCTTTTCTCTTACAGGCACTCTAGGTTATCAGATGTGGGGATCCTGACAAGGCACATCCAAATGACCAACACGAATCACCTGCTCACACTGAGGAGTCACTTGTACCCAGTCTTCCTCGACATGTACCTACAGCACAGACACTGCCATAGGGTAGTCTGGGCCCCAAAAGGCAGGAGGCTGAAGGAAAAGGGCTAGTGTTACGTCAGAGCGTAAGTAAGAAATATAGGCAGTGTCCCATGGAAAATCAGAGAACAAACAGCTGAACTAAGGTTACTGGGAACAGAAAGCAGGTGCACACTGACCACAGTAATTATTTAGAAGCGATCATGCCCCTGTACTTGGCACTAGTGAGGCCGCGCCTTGAGTGCTGTGGGCATCAGAGTACATGACAGACGTTGAGGTGCTTGAGTGGGTCCAGGGAAGGGCAAGAAAGCTGGTGAAGGGTCTGGAGAACAAGCCTTATGAGGAGCAGCTGAGGCAACTAGGATAGTTTAGTCTGCATACAAAGAGCCCAAGAGGAGACCTTATCACTCTTAACAGCTACCTGAAAGGAGGTTGTAGCAAGGTAGTTGTTGGTCTCTTCTCCCAAGCAACGAGCAATAGGACATGAGGAAATGGGCTCAAGTTGCACCAGGGGAGATTTAGATTGGCTACTAGGAAAAAAATCTTTACTTAAAGTGGGCAGGCACTGGAACAGGGCGCCCAGGGAAGTAGCAGAGTCGCCATCCCTGGAGATGTTAAAAACACATGTCGATGTGGCACTTCAGGATATGGTTTAGTGGTCACAGTGGTGTTGGGCTAATGGCTAGACTTCATGATCCTAAAGCCCTCTTCCTACTTTAATGATTCTATGATTCTACAGCTGCATCTTGTGAACCACACCAGAATATGGACACAACGAACACTTCGCATAGCTTACCTGCAGAAGCTTCGTTATGTGATTGTGAGCCTCTGAGCTGTCCCACTGGCTGGTCTTGCTGAAAGGTCTGAGACTGATTAAGTGTCGCAATAGCACCATTCACATGGTAGGTGGCAAGCCAGGAGCTGCAGTCATGACACACACGGCTAGGAAGTAAGAAAACAGAAAGGTATGTGATGAATAATAAAAAAGGGATCTCTGAGGGAAAGTGAAAAACAGAAAGGACCAGTCTCACAGCTACTGTCTCCATCAGCCCAGGGTCCCTCTTCTGGTACCCCAACCAAGGCCAGCCCCCTCCCGACCACGGAAAGCCTAAGGTGCCCAAGC